GGTGGTGGTTTCTTTGTGTAGCCCTTGGCAACAAACGGAGTTTGACCCCAGGCTCATGAGAGAATGTCTCAAAAAACACAAACAACAACGAAATGACTAGATAGGCCTCTCCGGGAAGGGGGGGGGGGGCGGTGAGCCTTTTATCGTAGACCGGGAACAGTAAAACTCCAGTTTACTGTTTAGTGAAATCACTGCTTAGAGTGACACTTGCTATATGCCAGGATGTATCCAGGGCCACAGTGCTTTGCCTCTGCCTCAGGGTGGGCTCAATATGTGATGGAGCTCACATCCAGCCTCTGCCTTCTGCCTTGCCAACTCACAGACTTGAGGAAGGACAGTAACATTCATAAGATCACGCACAGCAACAGTTGTAAGGCACACTTAAAGCCAGTCCCATAGGCTCTCAAACCAAAACCTGCTCCACTGACCCCTGGCCCAGCCCCCAGCCTGCCCTGACTCACCAGACCCCGGGGCACGGCAGAGGAAACACAGGTAACCCCACATGCCTCTGTCACCCACAAGGCCGCTGCCTCAGATGCTCTCAGCTCTCTGAGCTGGGGCCAGGCTGAGGCTGGGGGATTACCCCCAGAGCTATAGTCAGCAGCTTCTGTTCCATTGTCCACCCATGTCGCAGGGCTGCACCCTGGCCCCTCACACTGGCTTGGGTGGCCTCTCTGTGGACCCTCCTGTCTCCCCATATGGAGGTCCTATGCTGAGGGTATGGGGTCAGGGACAGGGTGGCAGGATCCTAGCATGCTGGGGCCACCCCCTTTCTCTGTGAAATGCCCCCAGCCCACTCTGAGCCACTGGGGAGGCTGGAATGTGCTGAGCTTTGGGAAATGCCTTCCAGCTCTGGCAGGGACCAAGTGACAGGGTGTGGCCAGAATCTAGCCAGCACCACTCTGGAAAGGAGAGGGGTTGCAGCTGATGAGCATAAGACCCTCACCCAACCATACCCTCTCTTTCTTGTAGTCATGGAAACCCCCCAGACTTCCATATGTTCATTTGTTCATACCGGAAGCCCTGGCTGTGGCAGATGAGGCAGCAGATACCCACAATCCCAGCACTTAGGAGGTGAAGACAGGAAGATGCAGAGTTCAAGATCACCCTGAGTTATAGTCTGAGTTTAAGGCCAGTCTGGGCTACGTGAAACCCTGTCTCAAAAATCAAAACAGCAAACAAAAATGAAGGAAGTTTGGACATGCTGTCCTCTCCATTTCTCTCAGAAAACAGAGCTCCCCTCAGGGCACGGGGCTGCCTGGGACTCCTTATTTAGAGCAGGCTGGCCTCAGACTCAGAGACTTACCTGCCTTTGCATCTAGTGATTGGATCAAAGGCGTGTGCCACTGTGCCCAGCATCACTACTTCCCTCAAGGTTTTTTGGTTTTTTATTTTGTTTTTCCCCCTTTGGTTTTTTTGACACAGGCTCTCTCTGTGGCTTTGGAGGATGTCCTGGAACTCACTCTTGTAGACCAGACTGGCCGTGAACTCACAGAGATCCGCCTGCTCTGCCTCCTGAGTGAGTGCTGGGGGTAAAGGTGAGCGCCCGCCCCGCCGCCGCCGCCACCACCTGGCTTCCCTCAAATTTTACAAAATGTGTATTTGCAATTGTTGCATTTAATTGGTGAATTGGTGGCGGTAGCGGCGTTGGTAGTGTCTGTCCATCTTTCCTGGCTTGCTGTGACTTATAGATGATGTGCCTGTCTGTCTGGGTCTTGGTTCTTCACGTCTGCGCCTGTTTCCTCTTTTCTCATCTTCCCATCTCTGTCTCTATGTCTTCCTCGCTCTTTGTCTTGTTTTCCCTAACCCAAGAGGTGTGGTCATGGGAAGCTGAGTTTATGGGGGTGGCACCAGCCCAGGTCACCTCCGTAAACACAGGACATCCTGTGGGATGGAAGGGGATGTAGAGAGGTAGAACTGGGCCTCCTGGGACCACCCTCTCCTGACCCAGCCTGAGCCACGCAGGATCCTGGTGACCAGCTCAATTCAGGGACACTAATGTCTCCCTGGTCCCACACATCAGGCCCTTTCCTCCCCGCGGGCACTCTCTGGACTCCAGTCCCAGGGACCCAATCCTTTCCCTTGATATTCACAGCCTCTCCCACACATGGTGTCCTCCCATGGGCTCAGCTCTAACCCCAGGACTACTTCTGGTACTTTCTCCTACTATCCCCTAGTAGCTCCATCCTACAGCTGGCACTGTGGTGTCCCTGCTACCCCTCTGTCACCTTCCCCTCCCTATGGCTGCTCCACTCCTCCCTAGGGACCCTACCATGGGCTCCCGCGTTCCAGTGTGACCTCACACCCCATGTCCGCGTGCAGCTGGCAACATCCAACACAGAAATTTTTGGCTTCCTGGTATTTTCACAGTGAGGTTCCTTCTTGTGCCTGTGTGCCCTGGACCCTTCCTTCCTCCTGTCCGAGTCTCATCACTGAATTTACAGCTTTCCTTCCTCATTCTAGACAAACTCAGTTGCTTAGAGACCCATGAAAACATAAGGTTCATCATTTCTCAGCCCAAATAAATAATCCCTTCCTCTTGCCAGGAGGTGGTGACGCACGCCTTTAGTCCCAGCACTCGGGAGGCAGAGGTAGGCAGATCTCTGTGAGTTCAAGGCCAGCCTGGTCTACAGAGAAAGTTACTATTCCAATTTTCAGAGAACTGGGTGGCTCAAAAAAAGTAGGTCACTCAGTCCCAGGGGGGCAAAGTTGGGGTTTAAACCTAGATGGGAGCCAGGTCTTTGTGGTGCAGGCCTGTAATTCCCAAGAGTTAAGAGGCTGAGGCAGCAGGATCAAGAGGTTGAGGGAAGGCTGCACTACAAACTAAAAATGTAAATGGCGGCACACACCTTTAATCTCGGGACTCAGGGACCAGAGACTGGCAGATGCCTGAGCTTGAAGTCATCCTGGTCTGTTACATAGTGAGTTCCAGAACTGCCAGGGGATGGGGGGCGGTGGGCATGAGAGGCTGGGAGTATGGTTCAGTGGTAAAGTGCTTATGTATCGTGCACAGAGCCCTAGGTTGGTTCCCAACACCACAACAAACAAATAAATGGACAAGCAGACCCAAGGGCTCCAGCTTTTGAGCACCTCTTTCCTTTCCCATGCTGTGCTTGAAGCACATCACCTCAGCCGTATCTGGGAGCATCCTTATGCTTTCCCTAGAGGCTGGTGCTTCTTGTCCCCAGTGCCTCTTACAGCTGTGCCGATTGCAAGCCCAGCATCTGTTCCATTTGTAAGGGGCATGTCCCAGGCACCATGCGTTCATCTGCGCAGATGAAGGCCAAGTGTCTGCCTGAAGGAAAGGCCTGCGTTCTGTCCGAAAGGCTCATCCTCAGCACCGTCATGCTGGAGCCTTGATGATGAGTTTGTGTCCGAGGTCCTGTCCCTGTCTCCTCACAGGGGACTTCAGGAGGGCTCTATAGAGGTTCTGCTCCAGAAGGACACGCCTCAGCCAGCAGATTCCAGGGCCCACTGCATTCCAAGCAAAGTGCAGGCCCTGGCTGGCACTGTGACTCCCTTTCACACAGCCATTGTGCATTCAGGCTATGACACCCCAGCGCAGCTCCCCTCCACCAATACAAACCTTCCTCAGCCACCCGCCCCTCCCTCTCTTTATTTCAGGAGTTAGGCGCATCCACTGTGTACACAACCCCGTGTAAAAGGAAAGTACAAGTCTAGGGGCTGAGGAAGGTCTGTGTAGACCATATTATGGACACCCTGCTTCAAAAATAAAGCTCGGCATGGTGGCATCTGCCTTTAAACTCTACACTCAGGACACAGAGGTAGGTGGATCCCTGTGAGTTCAAAGCTATCCTGGCTTATGTATGGAGTTTCAGGACCGACCTTCAGGACTACTCAAAAACTATAACAAGCAAATAAATAGGCCAGCCTGGGCTACGTGGTAAGTTTAAGGCCAGCCTGCCGGTATACTTAGAGACAAACCTATCTCAAAACCCACAGCTGCTCATTCCTGTAATCTTAATATGTGAGGAGGAAGTAAAGGCAGAAGGACCAGGAGTTCAAGGCCAGCCACCGTTACATAGTGAACGAGAGGCCATCTAGGCTACTTGACCCTCGTCAAAAAAAAAAAAGGGGGGGCGGGGATCCACACCAGACTTATCCCTGTCATCGTAGCTCTCCAAACCAGGCACAAGGGGGAGCAACCGAGCTCAACCTGACCGCCCAAGGTCTCGGCAATGGGCCGTCGATGTCGTGTGGCCTAGGCATGGAGTTTCCAGGGTTTGGGAGCTTAGAGGATCCTTAAGCTGGCAGCAGCTGCCAGCAGCCATGTCCATCCGCTTCTCTTGGTGGCCCTCCTCAGCCACTTCCAGAAATGGGCACAGCTTCCTCCACTCCTCCAGGAAGCCAAGCTCCGCCCGCCCCTTCCCGGCCCCTGGGGCTGCGTGTAGCTCCCGCCTCTCCAGCTCCACCCCGGCCTTAGTCTTGAAGCTTCCGGCCCCTGGGGGAGGCAGGAGTGGCCCTCCGGTGTCACTGTCCCGGGATCCGGGGCCCATCCTGCCCTTTGGGTGGCAGTCCAGCCCCAGGCCCCTCCCTCCCTGCCCTCCCCACCATCCTTCCGCTCTCCGGGCCCTGCCCTACCCTGCCCCCACAGCCGCCAGGAAGGACGCAGCCTGGGTCCCGTGCCAGGGCTGTGAGTGTGCGGCCCCTCCCAGCAGGGCCAGGAATGCAGCTGGACCGCGGGGGCGGCCGCAGACACACGGCTCCGTCCAGGCCCAGCATTGCGCTCAGGCAGGCAGGTGGCCCCGGCTTGCCCCGACCGGGATTGCTTCTAGAAGAAAAGCCAGCTACCTCTCCCTGAAGGTCCTGCCTTCTCTCCACTAAGCAGAGTGGCTTTCTTTTGGGAGACCTGAAATTTTCTGCCCTTTGCTCAAAGATACTTCGTGCATTTATTCCACTATAACTGTGGGTGTGTCACGGGATTATGAGTTTGATGTTATTTCATCCTTGATCGGTACAGATGCCAGAAGCACACAGACTTGATATTTCCCAAAGCTGGTTTTAATTTCAAAAAATTATGAGGTCTCTTCCCACACTGGGGATAATGGGATGGGACAGCCCTGACTACTATCCCAGGGGGATCAGTTCAACCCCCCTGGCCTGGGCCTGGCCCAAACTTATTGCGGTCACCAGGACCTGTCATTCTACCACTGGGGGCTTATTTCCAACTCCCTCATTAGCCAAGACAGGTGGATGGACGTGAAGCTGCCCAGGACTCAGTTCTGTCTCTCCAAAGTGGCCCGGCCTTCTGTGTAAAGAGGAAAGCCACCTGTGTCATGCCAAGGTGGATTGGTCAGGCTCAACTCAGATGCCAGACAACCATCCCTGGGTCTAGTTAGTTGTCAACGCCCAGGCCCCGGTGGCCTTTCCAGTGCTTGTGTGCCTACTAGTACATCCATGAGGTAGTCCAATTCAGCCTCATCCAGCTCTGGAGTTTCCTCCTTGGCTGGACCATTCTCAGGGCCAGGTTTGAGACCCTCAGAGGCTGGTACCCAAAGTTCACTGTCATACATGGAAGTATCAATGTCCTCAAATAAGCCCTCCAGTCCATCGTCCAGCAGACAGCCAGTGGCTGGGCCTAGCAGGTCCAAGGCACCCAGGTTGGGTGAGATGCTCCCAACTGAGCGGCCTGGAGGTCCCTCGTCTGCTTGCGGCTGGGGGACCTGGTTCAGGTCTTCAATGTGGTTGAGATCTTCCAGGAGGCTGGCCATGGAGGCTGAGAGGCCTGCGTCCGAGCTAGCCAGAAGGCTGTCTGGCACAGAGGGTGCTGTGGGTGGCATGGGCACAGGTGGCAGAGCAGTTGTAGGTTCCATGGATGCCTGAATGCGCCGCAGCGTGTTCACCACCAGCACCAGGTGCCGGAGGTCTGGCTCACTCTGCCGCAGACTGTGATGGAGCTTGAGCACGGAGAGGTCAAAGAGAGAACTAGAAGCTGCGGCGGGCGGGGTCTGTGCCACTGCTGGGTGGCTCTGATCCAACCACCACGAATCCACTGAGAGGCCTTCCTCCTTCTCCTCCTCCTTCTCCTCCCGTTTGCGCTTCAGACCCTTGCTCAGCATTGTCTGCAGGGAGGAAGGAGCCATTCGGTTATGGAGAGCCACTATTCAGGCCACACCCACTCTGAAAACAGCTGTCAGTGTGAGCTTCCAAGTCAACCTCACAGTCTGTTTTCTACGCGAAAACTTACTATTTCTAATGGGACAGGCTCTCATACCTCAGGCTAGCCAACTGACGATCGTCCCTTCCCACCTCCCCAGGGCTGGGATCACAGGTGTGTACCACCATACTGGGTGTACTGGATGCTGGGGATGGAACTCAAGGCTCCTGCGCAGAAAGCAAACATTCCACCACCTGAACCCGCTCAGTAAAGTTCTAAGATGCAGCTAACATCTACCTTATAAGTTGCTACACAGATTAGATTAATAAAAGCACAACATCCCCTTGCATCAGTCATTGGTACTTTCAAATTTTACTTTTACTTTAAATGTTGTTTGTGTGTTTGTATGCAGAAGAGTATAGATGCCCAAAGAAGCCAGCTGTTGGAGTCCCTGGAGCTGGAGTTACAGCTACTTAGCTGTCCAATATGGGTGCTGGGAATCTAACTTGGGTCCTCTGTAGCAACAGCAAGCTCTTAACACACATTACTAGTATTTATTTGTAAACACTGTACTTTTTGTCTTTTTAAAAATGTTTTTATTATTTATTTATTTTGGTTTTTCCAGACATGGTTTGTTTCTCTGTAGCTTTGGAGTCTGTCCTGGAACTCACTTTATAGACCAGGCTGGTGGAAAACTCAGAGATCCACCTGCCTCTGCCTCCCGAGTGCTGGGATTAAAGGCGTGGACCAACTTGCCTGCCTGGCTTTGCTCTTTTGAGACTGGGCCTCATACTGTAGTTAGAATCCAGGCTGGCTGACTATCCCAGGCAATCCTCCTGCCCGAGTCTTCCAAGGGTTAGGATTACAGGTTCGTGCCTCCTCTTGATGGTAGATGCAGCCTACTTATCCAGTTCAACGCATAGAATATCTGCTCTGCATCAAACACTAAATAATGAAATACAGGAAATGTGCAGAGAGTGATAGGAAAATGCCATCCTGGAGGCAGGTAGGCAGCTTTTGTGAAGAAGATACATTGGATCTGAACCCTGGGCCGGGCATTCTGGGAAGAGCCAATGGAAGACCGAGAGAGGCAAATCTTCACGGGGGGTGGGGGGGAGAAAAAAGAAAACAAAACAAAACCCACACAAGGAGCAAGCGCACAAAGTGACACGGTAGGAGTCCCGGTGGGGGTGGGCAGCAGCGGGAGCCTTGGATTTTCTGAGTGACAGGAGAGTCATGGAGGGAGGGTCTAGGCAGGAGTGTGAGTGTGGTGCTGTTAGCTGCTGCCGGGGGAGGACTGGCGGCGGGGCAGCGGCGGGGGTGAAGGTTCGGGGACGGACGTGGGCCTGAACTACCTTCACTACCTTCGGAGGCTTCTGCACTCGCTGGGATGCTGGCCGCTCGAGTTTAGAGCCTGAGCTGTTAACAGTCCCGCAAGGAAGTGGCGGACCGGATCTCACTGGAGGGAGAGCCGAGGGGCCGCGGGGGTCCGTCATTGACAGAAGTTTGGAAACCGACACTTTGTTCATGCTGAGAATACCGGAGTTTGGGACCCCTGTCCAAGCAGCCGGGGCACAAAGGCGGAGGGTCCCAGTGCCGGGGCGCTGCCTAACTCTGGAAACCGAGTCTTTGCCCTTTCCGCTGAAGACCCTGGAACGGGCGACCGCAGGAATTCAGCCCCCGCCCCGACTCCGCCCCCGACGCCAGGCGCCCCCTAGCGGCAGCCCGGCGGGGTGCCCCGGGGACTCCGGCCCCTGGGACCCGGGGAGCGTCCGTCCCCACTCCTCAGTCTCGCCTGTGCCTCCCGGCCCTTGCGAGCCGCGACCCCCGCGGGCCGCGGCGCTCAGGGCCTCCCCGAGCTTCCGGAAGGCCGCGGAGGCGGCTCCTCCCGGAGTGGCGGCGGCGGCGGCGGCGGGGGCGGGTGAGTCACGCAGCCGGAGCCAGGGAGCCGGCGCCTCCGCCCCCTTCTCGGGCTCCGGCGTGATTCACTCAGCCCGGCCCGGACGGGCGTCACGTACAGGCCCCGGGCGCCCGGATCCCGGACAGCCCGGGGAACATCTACCTAACCGGGGGCTCGAACACGCTAAACACCTAGGCCGTCGGTACCCCCCGTGTCTCCCCCACACCAGGCCCCCTCATTTACATACCCAGATCACTCGCGACCAATCAGAACGAAGAGGGAGCCACACGCAGCCAATCAGGAAGCGGCAGCAGTAGCATCGCTCGCTCGCTGGGCTCCGGCAACCGACACCTGGGACGGTAGGCGCAGTTCTGACCGCGGCGCACGACTCCAGACACTCCACAATCTCTAGTTCCCGCCCACTCGCGTGGCAGCCCCGCCCTCCCGCTCAGGGGCCGGCTCTCATTGGTGGCGGTGGGCGGAGCCTGAGCGGGGCCGTTCCAAACGAAGGGGAGGCTGGCTGTAAGGCGCATGCCCGGGCGCGCTCCCGGAGCACAGACGACAGTAGCGATTTCCTCTACTGGGCAGTGACAGGTAGGGGCTTTGGTGGAGGTTTTAAGGTTCATGTATGATTGAGCTTGGAAAAATTTATGACTTCTGGGCGAGGGAGGGACACAATTTATTAAATCGACCTTCCTCTCGAGTTACAGTATCGAGTGTTGTGTGTCAAGAGGAGCAAGCACTTTACCAGAAGCAACTACGGTGGGACAGCTGGACTCCGCTATAATTATAGTCCGGAGTGAGGTGGAGATGGAATGACATAAGGGTCACATCCTGGACATCAGTTCCGGAGTAGCTGCGTGACTTTGAACAACAGTTTAAATCCCTCAAAACCTGTTTCCTGCGGGGCATGGCTGTTCACACCCGTAATCCCAGCAAGGGAAGACTAAAATGAAAGCGGGAGGGGGGGGGGCATCGCTTTGAGTTTGAAAAAAAGGTGATCTTTTTGTTGTTGTTTTGGTTTTGGTTTTTTTTGAAACAGTTTCACTAAGTTATCCAAGTTAGCCTGAAAAACAAAGCAATCATCTTTCTTAGCCTCTCAAGTAACTGGAATTGTGGGCTTCTGCCACCAGATCAAGATCCAGCTAATAAATAGTCTGCTATTGTTTTTCTGTGTGTGTGTGTGTGTGTGTGTGTGTGTGTGTGTGTGTGTGTGTGTGTTTGTCTTTTGAGACAGGGTTTCTCTGAGTAGCCCTGGCTATCCTGGAATTTGCTCTGTAGACCAGGCTGACCTCGAACTCAGAGAGATTCACTTACCTTTGCCTCAGAGTGTTGGGATTAGAGGCCTAAACTCCACAGCTGGCCTCTAGCTAGTCTTAAAAATGCCAGGGGAAGTGCAGTTCAGTGAAAGAATGCTTGCCTAGAATTCCATCCTGTGTTTGATTACAGCACAAAGAAAAAAAAAATCCTGGGCCAGGAGGTGGTGGTGCACATCTTTAGTCCCAGCATGAGGGAGGCAGAGGCAGGCGGATCTCTGTGAGTTCAAGACCAGCCTGGTCTGCAAGAGCTTGTTCCAGGACAGGCTCCAAAACCACAGAGAAACCCTGTCTCAAAAAACAAAAAAACAACAAAAGCCTGTAGAGTAGGATGTTTGTTAGGTGCTCATTGGTTAAAAGCACTTGCTCAGGGCTGCAGAGATGGCTCAGAGGTTAAAAACACTGGCTGTTCTTCCAGGAGACTGGGTTCAATTCCCAGTATCCACACAGCCGCTCACAACTGTTTGTACCTCCAGTTGCAGGGGATCTGACACCCTCACACAGACATACATGGAAGCAATACACCAATGCACATAAAATAAAAATAAATTATTAAAAACACTTGCTCTAAAAGAGAACCAGGTTCAGTTCCCAGCACCCACATGGCTGCTTGCAAGTGCCGCTAACTATAGTCCCAGGAGACCAGCATCCCTTCTGGCCTTCCCAGGCACCTGTAACCCCAGCATACATATACAGACAAGCAGGTACAACACACACACACACACACACACACACACACACACACACACACACAATACAATTAGTTTTTAAAAAGCATAGAATTTTGGGCTGGTGAGATGACTCAAGGCATAAAACCATCTGTGCTGCTAGGTAATAAGCTGGTCCCAGGTTTCACATGGTAAAAAGAGTAAACAGATTCTTTCGAGTTGTCCTCTGACTTCTACAGGTATGAACATACTCACTCACACACAAATTCATAAAAATTCTTTGTAAAAGCTAATCGGAGAAACTGGAGAGGTGGCTCAGTGACTAAGAGCACTGGTTGCTCTTCCAAAGGACCTGGGTTCAGTTCCCAGCACCCACATGTTAGTTCAGTGCTTATCTCTAACTCCAGTCCTAGGGAGTCAGATGCTCTTTTCTGGTGTCTGTGGGTACTAGGCACATATGTGGTATACAGATACACATGCAGGCAAAAGACCCCTCTACATAAAACGTTTTATATATTTTTTATAAATCTATATTTTTAAACAGAATGCTCATTGTCCTTTTCCTTCTTTTGTTTTTTTTAATAATGTATTTTTATTTTATGTGCACCGATGTTTTGCTGCATGCATGTCTCTGTGAGGATGCTGGTCCCCTGGAATTGGAATTGTAGACAGTTGTGAGCTGCCCTGTGGGTGCTGGGAGTTGAACCCAGGTCCTCTGGAAGAACAGCCAGACCTCTTAACCACTGAGCCATCTCTCCAGTGCCCAAACTTTTTTTCTTTTGTTTGGTTTTTTGGGACAGGGTTTCTCTGTCCTAGAACTAGCTCTTGTAGACCAGGCTGGTCTCAAACTCACAGAGATCCACCTGTCTCTGCCTCTCAAATGATGGGATTAAAGGCGTGTGCCGCTATCACCACCTGGCTCCAAACTTTTTTTTTTTTTTTTTTTTTTTTAAAGCTAGTCTGTAATCAATAAAGATTCAAGCATTATCTTTATATGGAAAAAAATAAGTTGGGTGTGGTGGTACATACTTTAATCCCAACACTTGGAGGACTGAGTTCAAGGCCAGTCTGGTCTACCAAGCAAATTCCAAGAGATCTAGGGAAACCCTGTCTTGAAAACACTCCCCCCCCCTCAGCAAAAAAGAGAGTATGTGAGAGAAAGAAGACACTAGAGTGATGGCTTCATGATTAAGTACTAGTTGCTCTTGCAGAGGACCCTAGTTCATTTCTCAGCAACCACATAGTAACTCACAGCTATCCTTCACTCTAGTTTCAGGGGGTCTGGGATCCCCTGAACACATATGATGCACAGACATACATTCAGTCAAAACACATATACATGAAATAAAAATAAGTCTTTTTAAATAAGAGAACAGTGCCGGGCAGTTGTGGTGCACACCTTTGGTCCCAGCTCTCATGAAGCAGACAGGTGGATTTCTGAGTTAGAGAATAGCCTGGTCTACAGAGTGACTTCCAGGACAGCCATGGCTACACAGAAAATCCCTGCCTCAAAAAACCAGAGTGAGAGAATAGTAGTTGCTTGTTAGCCTTTGGACTAAGGTCAAAAGAGAATTATGTCATAATTGGAATCAGGATCCTTTTACACAGTCTATTTTTTAAAATTATTATTATTATTATTTGTTTTTTTTTTCAAGACAGGATTTCTCTGTGGCTTTGGAGGCTGTCATGGAATTGGTTCTTGTAGACCAGGTAGGTCTCAAACTCACAGAGACCCACCTGCCTCTGCCTCCAAATTGCTGGGACTAAAGGCATCCACCCAGCTTATTTTTTATTTTATGTGTATTGGTGTTTGGCCTGCATGTATGTCTGTATGAGAATGCCAGATGCCCTGGAACCAGAGTTATAGACAGTTGTGAGCTGCCTTGTGGGTACTGAGAATTGAACCCAGGACCTCTGTCTGGAAGAGCAGCCGGGGCTCTTAACCCCTGAGCCATCTCTCCAGCCCCTATACAGTCTGTTTTTATGACCTGGCCAAAAGGAGTCTCAGAAATTGCTGGGCATGGTGGCACACCACTATCATCCAGTATGCAGGACACAGAGACAAGACAATCAGAAGTTCAAGGTCAGCTTGTGCTTTATAGCACAAAAGTGTCAAGCAAAGTAGCCTAGAGCTTGCCAATGGCTTAAGTGGCTCATAGGTCACACATTAAACAGCTCATGGGAGCTGGGTTTGTTTGTTTGTTTGAACTTACATCGATTGAGTATCTATTATGGATGGGCTATGTACAAGCCTAACAACCCTGCATAGATGACATGGTTCTTTTTGTTTCCTGGGTCATGGGAGAGGGTAAAGACCAAAAAGAAACTTGCCTAGGTTGACTACTGTAATCCTACTACCCAGGAAGCTGAGGCAGAAGGATGCAGCATTTAAAATGAATCTGGGGCTAGATTCTTGTTTCAAAACAAAAAACAAGATAGGGCTGGCAAGCTGGCCCAGGGGTAAAGGTACTTGCTGCCAAACACTACTTCCTAAGTGTCATCTCCAGAGCCCACTTGGATGAAGGGGAGAACTGTTCTCTGACCTCCACACAAGTGCTGTGGCATGTGGCATGTACACACACACACACACACACAAGCCAGGTGTGGTGACACACTCCAGCAATTTGAGCACTGTGGAGGCTTGAGATCCAGGAGTTCAAAGCTAACTTCAGTTACACAGTGATTTCAAGCTCTCCAGGGCCAAAAATAAATAAACGCATGTAAAAGAAAATAAAACAAAAGCTTCACCCCTTCGAGTGGAGAATAGGATGTCTCACTGATGACATTTGATGATTTTCGTGAGACTGGGTCTCATGTAGCCCAGGCTGGCCTAGAGCTATGCTGAGAATTATCTTGAAGTCCTGTACCTTTCCAGGGTAAGACTAAGAGGTGACACTTGGCAGAGACTTGACAGCAGAGAGACGAAGAATGCAGAAGAGAGTTCACAGCAAAGACCCTGGGGTGCTGTTTGTCAGGTAGGTGGGCCAGTAGAACTGGCTTGGAAACGCCCAGAGAGGTAGTAAGAGAAGTCGCTAGAAGTTTTAGACCTTTGTGCACATTCAACAAACTGAGACGACAAGACACTTGAAGATGCCTAAAGGAGAAAGAAAGAAAAAAGGCTGATCAATGTCTTGAACTGAACATGGTGGGTTGGGTTGACAGAGAGTCCCAGGGAGAGGTGCCGGCAGCCAGGGCGGTCCGAGGGAGCCTCCCCGAGGAATGACATTGGAGCAGGGACCAGAAAGTGGAGAAGGAGTTAGGAATTCAACGATTGGGGGAAGGGAAACAGAGACTGGGCCTTGAGAAATGAAACCAGAGGCTAAGCCACCGGGCCGGGCAGGCAAGGGAAAGGGCGGGGGGGGGGGGGGGGGGACCTCACCAGCTGG